TTTATTCTGATAGGTGCTGGGGGGGTTATGAAAGATTAGGGCCCTTCCCTTCTTTCAAAGAGCTGGATGTGGGAGGCAGGACTCACAATGAAAGAACAATGGAAGGCAGTATGTGATTGAGAATAAAATGAGTGGAGCACTCAATCAATGCTGTAGAAGTTCGGAGGAGGGAGAGAGCTCTGGGGACTGGGTGTAGGATTGGGAAGTGTGTTTTTCCTCAGGCTTTGAAAGATGGGTAGGGTTGTTTATGCAGACCTGGGGGAGGGCACTGAATTCGAGTGTGCATGCCCATGTGCATAAGCACACACGCAAATGCAAATGCACAGATGGGTAACAACAGGTACCATTTAGTAGGCACATTCCATGCAGCAGATACTCCATAACGTTCTATGAAATTCAACTCACTCAAATGTGTATAATCCTATGACTATCTTTCAGTTAATCGATAGGAAATTGAGGCACAGAGAAGGTCAAGAAATTGCCCAAGGTGACACAGCAAATAACTGGCATAAATGGGACTAATTAGAATTCAGAGCTTAAAAACATTTTATTCTTCTACTTAGGAAAAAGAGGAATTTGTGGCTCAGGTGAGGAAATTGGCCTGGCTATAGTCATTAAAGACAGTCATTTTACAAACACAGGAGTGGCCAGGCCACATTCCTAACTGAAGCCCAGCATGGAAATTGAAGGGATTAATGGAGTCATTACTGAGTGCTATGCTACCTCACTCTTACTTCTTTGAAAATAGGAACTTGAGGTCTCCAGAGGCCACATGCCATGGCCAGGAGCTCTTCAGCTTTGCTCCTTCATTATGCTGCCGGACCACTTACCAAAACACCTCAGAAGAATAAATGAGCAAGCCTCTGAACCAATTCTTGTGTGCTTTTGTGCTTTCTTAATTAGCACTTGAACAGCATCACGCCTGTGGTAGACGCCACACAAAGCAACCTGGCTATATTTGTCAAGAACACCACACTTGGAAAGGCTGGGAGGGCAATGACCTGATAATACAATGGATTCTATTTTATGTTTTGAGCCTGGTTTGCAGCCAACCTCTGAAAGTGTTTCCTAGGCAAGGTGCCTAACTGTTTTTCTGGATATTCTTACCTCAGTGTTCAATAAATACGAAATCAGCATGAGGTAGATTCTGAAGCTGTCATTTTCCCATTTCCTTGACCCAAGAAAAGCAAACACAGTGAGTGGATGGGTAGAAAGCAGCAGTGAAGAGTGGACCCTGTCCCTGGGCAGCTCTCAGTGTCCAGGCTGCCCTTTCCATGTGTGCATTAGGAAATACTAGCTCTCAGGGAGGGAGGAGGGAAAGAGGTCAGGGGAAGCTGCTTTTTCTCCAGCTAGGCTTCCACTGAAAGCATGTCAGGAGTGAAGGGAGAAGGAAGGGAGGAAGAGGGAGGGCCAGGGGTGAGCTTTGTGGCTGGAGACAGAGAAAACTTGGGACCAGAGCAGGAGGAAGATTGGGGAAAGGAAGTCTCTGACCTGGAGACCAAAGTTGGGGAGTGAGGCTGTGGGTGAGAGAAGACACCTTCCTGCTCTTGCCTGAATCTACCACTTCACGGCAGGAGGGAAGGAACAGGCAGAGGCCCACTGAAAGCCAAGCTTGCCCAGCTGCAACTGTTCATCGCTAGCTAGCTAGGCTTCTTTCTTCTACAAGAAGTTAGAGGGGGCCGGCTGAGTGCCTACTATGTGCCCAGTGTCTAAGGAGGTGCCTGGAGAACCAGGGCTCAGGAGGCGGAGTCAGTCAACAAGGCTTCAGAGGGGAGGCGAGTTGTGTCTGGGTGGTGAAGGAGGGCGGCTGTGCACGCGTGCGGGCTCAGAGTTCAGAAGAGGAGGCAGGCGGGGAGGAGGAGGAAGGAGGCGGAGATTGAATCGCTGGAGGGAGGCGGTTGGTGGTGGGGGGGGAGCCAGGAGGACTCGGGCTGGGAGGTGTGAATGGTGGATACGGTGGGGGGAGTGCGGGAGGCATGGGAGGGAAAGGGGCAGGGCGGGGCAGTGGTGGCCCGAGGACTTGGGGGCGGGGGGAGGCGGGAGACTGAACTGGACCGAGGAGGGACGAGGGCGGAGGGAGGCGGTGGCTAAGGGGAGGAGAGAGGGAGGGGAAGAAGGAGGAAGCGAGCGCAGTTGCTGCAGGGGGAGGAAGATCAGGAGGAGGAGTCGTGCGCGGCGGCGGCAGCGGCGGTGGCTGCGGCCGCGGCCGCCAGGGGAACCGGGCGCCGGGGCACCCGGAGTGCGGGATCGGAGCGATCGCCCGAGCCGGGCCCAAGCTGCCGGTGAGTGGAGCCCCGAGGGCGCGGCGGCCCGTCCCCGGGGCCTAGCGGGAGGAGCGGGAAAATGCGGTGGCGCCGGGGCGGAGGGTGGGGGCCGCAGGAGCCCAGCCCCTGGCTGGCCCGGCCTCCAGCCCTCCCTCTCGGCTTCCTCCCGCCGCTGCCTGCGCGAGGGGGGCAGGTCCCGGGCGGGCGGCGGGCTGAGGGTGGTGCTGCCCGGAGGGCGGGCGTCTGGGGCCGGGGGTGGAGCTGGGGGATCGGGGGTGTACCCGGGGGCGGGAGGCTGGACCGACCCGGACGGCTGTAAATTGGCTGAAGGGGCCGTCGGCGGCGAAGTTGCTAGCTGGGGGCAGAGACGGCCACGCGGTTGCAGGAGTAAGAGATCCCCCTTGTGGAGTGCGTGAGACGAGGAGTCCGGTGTCCCTGCCATCCCCGTCGCCCTCCCCGCCTGCCCGGCCCCGCTAGCTCCCTTCCTAGCCTCCGCCTGTCCCCTCGCTGTCACCCCTTTGGTCCCTCGGTTTGCTCCCTCCGCAGTGCCGAGTCCTTTCGGCCCCCTCCGGCTTCCCCTGACCCCTGCTTGCTTCGCCACCACCCCGGTTCCCCTTTTCTTCCCTCGCTAGTTGCCCCTCCCCGCTTCGTTAATTCCCCGGTGCAATTGCCTCTTTGAGACCTATTTTTTCCTCTCCTTCCTTTTAGATTGGCCAACGGCTCCTTTCAACCCTGCCTCGTTGGTGGCCACTGGAGAAGCGCGGGGGGCTCCCCAGACAGCCGTGGGGACGAGTTAGAGCCAGCACTATACCCTGGGCCTCGCGTGTAGCTCCCCCTCCCCTGCTCTAGGTGCCCCGGTGTCCTGAGGGGGGTGCGGGGTGTGCCCTCCTTACATGTTCTACCACCTGGGCAACCCTCTCGGCTTGTGGTCCATCTCTCTCTTGCTTCCTGTACGGTGGTCGAGGGGAACCAACCACTTTGCATCATGTCCCGGTATAGCTACCAAAGTCTCCTGGACTGGCTCTATGGGGGCGTGGACCCCAGTTTTGCAGGCAATGGGGGCCCCGACTGTGCTGCCTTCCTCTCTTGGCAGCAGCGGCTGCTGGAAAGTGTGGTGGTCCTGACCCTGGCCCTGTTGGAGATCCTGGTGGCCCTGCGGCACATCCTGAGGCAGACGGAGGACGGTAGGGGTGGTCGTGGCAGCCAGCCACAGCAGGTGACCCAGCGGCCAGAGGAAGGCAAGGAGAGCCTGAGCAAGAATCTGCTCTTAGTAGCCCTGTGCCTGACCTTCGGGGTGGAGGTGGGCTTTAAGTTCGCCACCAAGACCGTCATCTACCTGCTCAACCCCTGTCACCTGGTCACCATGATGCATGTGAGTCTGTTGACTTTTTCCTGGGCAGCCTAAGTGATAAGAGTCATTTTATGTGCTCAGGACACTTGGTAGTGTAGAGCACTTCATCCCTGTGGGAAGTGGGACCCTTAAAAATGATTTTCCAATGAGTGGCTGCCATTGTGCCAATTTCAGATTTGACTTTTTTCATGTTTGCACAATGTGTCAGCCTCACAGTGGAGGTGAGGAAGCTTGTGCCTGAACCCTAGAAAGGAGGCACAGGCTGGAGGCTCCTCCCCTCCTAGCCCTGAGCAGGCCTTGTCTTTCACAAGCAGGACATCCAGCTCCAGCCAGGTGTCCATGGCTCAGCGCTCTTGCCTTTTGTGGTAGTTAATTTTCTAGGGGTCTGGTGGCACTCTTTGCTGGAGGTGGTCACATTAGCTTCCTTTTCTTCACTGTGGTACTTTGGGGAAATACTTTTATGGGTTTCTCTTAATGACTCTTTCATTTGGGAGTTGATCCTCTTAGGGTGAGGCCTGCCTTTGGTTTCTTAGGTGCCAGAGCCACCTCAAACTCCTACCACGAGGTCTCTGAAGCAGACCCCAGGGTGGCTGGGGGGAACTTTGCCTGGTGATTCCTTCTGTGGTGAGAGGGTATTTATTTACTCTTTGCACACCTCTCCATCTTATCACTCCCATTCTGTCTCCTGTGGTCATACTCTAGGGGTACTCAAAGAGCTGATTTTTTTTTTACCTCCCCAACTGCTACCCTTTAGCAATGCTACAGAAAACAAATACGATTGACATGAGAAATTGCCAGATACAGAAAAATAATCTGGGTGAGGACCAATTGTGAGACTGTCTTTCTGTATACTCAGACTGTGCAGAGATGTTCTGAAGCTATGGAATCACAGAGGAGGAGGAAGGGGAGAAGGGGGAAGGCAGTCGGTCTTTTGTAGCTTTCAGGCTGTGGAAAACCTGGTGTCTTTTATTCAGGGGCAGTTTGAAAACCTGTCATTAGCATTTTTATTGCTTTTATATTTGTAGAAGGTTGTTCTCTGGAGACTTATGACAGCCCTATGTGGGGCAGGAGGTTGAAATGATTATCTCCATTTTATAGCCTTGGTGGGGCTCAGGGATGGAAGGTCGCTTGCCTTGCAGCCAAACTATGAATTAGCAGCTGGGCCAGAAAGCAAACCCACTCTCCTTTGGAGTTGGAAGCTGTCAGTCCCAAGTTGGGGTGGCAGCGGGTGATGGAGCAGTGGAGGGGGAGGGGCAGAGGCAGATGAGCATTGTGCTAAGGTTCTCCTGGTTCAGAGACTGGCTAGCTCTGTGTTCCTAGGAATGCATTCGATTGCACATTCTTGACCTCAGTTTCTCAATCTGGAAAATGTGGCCAATGACCTGTGGTACCCTCCCATCTTGCAGATGTGGTAAGGAGGTGTGGATCGCTTTGGGGTAAGGAGGCTCTTATTGATTGGGTGGCTATAAGTATGGAACAGAGCTGGAGGGGGCAGCCCTTTTTTTTTAGAGTGGGCTTCTTGGGAAGTGATACCATTCACAGGAACTCCAGGGCTGGCCCAGCTAGACCTTCTGTGTAAATTTGAGCCAGTCCTTTTTTTCTTATTTATGAATGGCCTTTTTGTTAGTGAGAAGAAACAACGCAACTCAGCTGCTGCTGTGTGTGAGGCTTTCTGCTGTATGAGGCTCTCTGGACAGGAGTGTTTTTTTAGGACGGCAGGTGGTAAGGGTCAGAGGATGCCTCTTCTACAAAGGGGTCTTGAGAACTCTGGCAACCACCTATCTAGAAGGTCAACAAAGGACTAAATTCAGCCTTCCTGGGGCTGCTGCTGGTGTGATGACATCAAACCTGGCAGTGCCATGGTGGTTTTTAGAGGAAAGATTTTAGAGGGTTTTAGAAGACTCAGGAGACCTAGGTCTGGCATTAATGCGTCATATGACTTTGGGGAAAGTACTCTTCCTGGGCCTCAGTTTGCCCACCTGTAAAATGAGGTAGAGTTGCACTCGTGACGTTCCACAGTCCGTGTTCTGTGATTCATTTGTCCATAAGCAATAGATAGGGATGCAACTGAGAGTGATTCTGGAAAGCTGTTGACCTGCTTGTGCGGAGAAAGGAAATTTGTTTCTTTTCTGTGGATGTCAGGTAACCAGCCAGCCCCTCTTTGTCTTTTGCTGCATGTGTCTCCTAGTAAGCTTGACCAGGCCACATCTTGGGACACATGCAGAGGATGACTTGACTCTGGACTGAGTCCTGTCACTTGTGTTTTTTTGTACTGTTCTCCTTAAACTCTTTAGCTATAAGGTGGGGCAGAGAACAGAGTCATGCTGAGGAATTCTTGAGTAACCTACTGGGGATCCCAATTTTCCATCCCCTGTGTGGGGCTGTTCCCTGAAAGCAGAATGTATAGATTTTTATTGCTTGAGTCACACTTCCAGCAGGAATGTATAGATTTTTTTAAAGATGTGAGTCCTAAAAAAATTAACAGATGGTTGGAAGCAATTTTCTGACTTGATGGCAGCAGGGACTAATGATTGCAGGTAAGGTTAATAATTCCTTTCATTTATCTAGCACTTTACTTATAAGGCACTTTGATATGCATTCTTATTGAAGTTTATGATAGATCAGCTTTGGCCTGGAGAAAGATGCTAAATTGTTACCTATGACTGTGTCTATTCCAAAGGAGAGATATTATGTATTAAAGAAATGCTTTGGTAAGTGAATTAGCTGATTTAGGCTATAATGTAGTAGAAAACTCTGGAGTTTAGAAGTCCTGACAAGGAAAGGGAGATGTTAGCTGAAGTGACAAGGAAAGGGAGATGTTAGCAAGAGACATACTAATATGTATCTCTCAACTGGATAACTCAATTTTGGCTTTGTAGAAAGGCCTTCATCCTCAGTTTGTAACAAGGTTGATGTTGCTTTAGGCCAGGAAGTAGAGGAGTTGGAGCAAAATTGGTTACTTTGCCAGTCTGCCATTTTCAGTCTGCAAAATATTCATTCCCAACGCCTTGTTACACAGACCCTCGTCACAGCCAGGCTGCCTTTGGGTGACTGCCAACTGTAGTAGCATAAGGAAGGGCAGAACTTGTGTCTGAATTCTGCTCCTGATTAGTATTCCTGCTGTCTGGTTTCTTTTTGGTCTCTTCCAACTTCTCAGATGTCCTAAGACTGTAGACTGTTAGAGGATTGTAGGACTTACGTAGCTCTGTCTCATAGCTCAGCTCCAGCCTGAGATGTTTGGGGAGGTGGTTTCAAAATCAGCAAGTGCCTACGTCATCGCACCATTTTTAAACCCCTTGCTAAATATCCATGGCGTCTACCAACTATACCACTGGGACTTTCTTCAAGCTTGGCCAGTCAGTCCCCTTTTGCCCATGACTTTGGCAGGTATGGGTGACAGTGTGTTGTTTGTGCTGCTTACCAAAGCTCTCTCCGAGCAAGTTAGGGACAAAGGTGACTTTAGATTTGAGCTGTAAGCCTGTGGCAATTCAGGCATACCAGGAAGAGATTCTCATAGTTATTTAAGACTTAAAAATCCACAATTTCTCAGCAGAAGGGTTAAAATGCCAGGCTGGGTGGAGTGGTAGGTGCCTGTAATCCGAGCACTTGGGAGGTTTATGCTGTAGGATAGTGAGTTCAAGGCCAGTCTGGGCTACATAGCCAGTTTGAGGCCAGACATTGTCTCAAACAAACAAAGGAACAAAACAAAAGGCCAGACAGTTTGGCTGATTGTGTGTAAAGACAAGTGGTCTTAACTCAGTGACCTTTTCTCTATCTTTGTCTTACAAACTTAATGAGAAGATCCCATTTGGATGTCTTATTTAATTGCTCAGTTCCTGTTGGTTTTGTATGTGTCTGCACCAACATCTCCTGACTGGGCACTGAACTTAGCTGGGCACAACATTTGCCATTTAACCCTCTATGTCTATGCACGGAAAGCAGGCAGTGTCCGTTTTGCAAATAATAATAATTGATGCTGTTCACCCAAAACACTAGGATTTTTTGGGGGAGGGCTTTAATACTGAGCCCCCTATGTTTAGAGTTGCTTTTGTTATTTGATTTCCTGTCTTCTTTACAGTATATCAGAAGCATGATTTCCACCGAATATGGCTTACTTACTTTGGGTTCACTGTTTGATTTTCATCTTCCCTCTTTGCTAAAAGTGGAGCATGGTATGTGTTCAAAAAATTGTGAGCTTTTGGTGGCATGCTTTGCAGCTCACTGAAAACACACTGGTGCCTTCAAGATACTACATAATGGATTTGTTCTAGAGAAAACCTGATGGAGTTCAGAATTGGACTCTATTTTTCCCCCTTGATTTGAGAGCAGACACACCTCCTAGTTCTCCATCTGTTGTCTGGAGCACTGATATGATTCCTGCTTGGAACTGATGTCGGTGGGTAATGGGTACAATAAGGACACAGCCATCTGCTGATATCCTATCAGATGGACTGTGTCCTGTGTCATCAGTCCATGGGGACATGAGAGGATGATGTTTATATGGGCCTCAGCAGTGAGGCATGACATTTCTTTTTAGTTTGTTTTATTCCTCCCTCCCCAAGGAAATTTGCAAAGAATTTTCCCATCTTTCATTGTTATAGTCTTTGGGGGCATCCACTATAAAGAGAGGTGGTGTGGACTGGTGGATTAAACAACTGCCAGACAGCACTGGGATTTAAAAATTATGATGCTTGTTTTGCTCGTGGCTTGCTACGGGAACTTGAACAAATGATTTAACCTTTCCCTGTCCCAGTTTGTACCATGAAATGGACCACATAGAAAGAAAACATTTTAGTCCTCCAAATAACTATGTGGTAATTTAACCAGAGAAGCTGAGCAAAACTGATCAAAACTGGCAGATGACCAATATGGTTTTCCTTCAGGCTCAAAGATGGGCAAACCTCAATTCCTTTCCACCTTTCTGGGTAGCTGCTAGAAGTCATGCCTCTAACCAGTCTCTGTTGTTTTCTCTGGATCCTGGCCTGCTTCTGCATGCCCTTGTACCACACAGCATGCAAAAC